TCATGATATTCTAGTTAATTGGTGCAAGTCAAATTTCTTTTTGAGGCATTTTTTTGTATTGTTTATGTATTTTTCTTAATTTTTCGGCCATTTTGGGACATTTACGTAATATTCGGCCATTTTCGGGCTGTTAAGAAAAGAAGTAAAGTTTTGTTATTTTATTTAACACGATATTCTAAGTTCATTGGTGTTAGTCGAAATTTTTTGAGGCATTTTTTGTGTTATTTATGTATTTTTCTTATTTTTTCGGCCACTTTGAGGCATTTACATAATATTCAGCCTTTTTGGGTTGTTGTGAAAAGAAGTAAAGTTTTGTTCTTTTACTCGTTACGGTATTCTAAGGTCATTGGTGCAAATCAAAAAACAATTTAGAGGCGTTTTTTGTATTATTTATGTACTTTTCTAGATTTTTCATCCATATTGAGGCATTTACATAATATTCTGCCATTTTCCCGCAATTACAAAAACAAGTAAGGTTTTGTTATTTTATTCGTCATGATATTCTATGGTCATTGGTAAAAGGCGATTTTTTTTTATTGTTTATGTATTTTTCTTGATTTTCCGCTATTTAATTAATATTCGACTATTTTTGAGCAGTTACGAAATGAAGTAAAGTTTTGTTCTTTCGTCATGATATTCTAAGGTCATTGGTGCAAGTCAAAAACAAATTGACGCATTTTTTGTATTGTTTATGTATTTTTCTTGATTTTTCGATCATTATGGGGCATTTACGTAATATTCGCCAAATTCGGGCAGTTACAAAAAGAAGGAAAGTTTTACTCTTTTATTCGTCACGAAATTCTAAGGTCAATGGTTCTAGTCGAAATTTGTTTGGGGCATTTTTTGTATTGTTTAAGTATTTTTCTTGATTTTCGGCCATTTTGGGGTATATACGTAATATTCGGCCATTTTCGGGCTGTTACGAAAAGAATAAAGTTTTGTTCTTTTATTCGTCATGATATTCTAAGGTCATTGGTGCAAGTCAAAAAAAATTTGAGGAGTTTTTGTACTGCTTATGTATTTTTTTGATTTTTCGGCCATATTGAGGCATTTTCGTAATATTCAGCCTTTTTCGGGCAGTTATGAAAAGAAGTAAACTTTTGTTCATTTATTCGTCATGATATTCTTTGTTCATTGGTGCAAGTCGAAATATTTTTGAGGTGTTTTTTGTATTGTTTATATATTTTTCTTGAATTTTCGATCATTTTGTGGCATTAATGTAATAGTCAACCATTTTCGGGCACTTACGAAACGAAGTAATGTTTTGTTCTTTTACTTGTCACGATATTCTAAGGTCATTGGTGCTAGTCAAAAAATATTTGAGGCATTTTTTGTGTAGTTTATGTATTTTTCTTCCATTTTGGGGAATGTACGTAATATTCGGCCATTTTCAGGCAACTACGAAACGAAGTAAAGTTTTGTTCTTTTGTTCGTCACGATATTCTAATGTCATTGGTGCAAGTCGAAATTTTTTTGAGGTGTTTTTTTGTATTGCTTGTGTTTTACTTGATTTTTGGCCATTTTGGGGCATTTACGTAATATTCGGATATTTTCGGGCAGTTACGAATAGATATAATGTTTTGTTCTTTTATTAGTCGTGATATTCTAAGGTCATTGGAGCAAGTCGAATTTTTTTTGATGCGTTTTATGTATTGTTTATTTATTTTTCTTGGTGTTTCGGCCATTTTAGGATATTTACCTAATATTTGTCTAGTTATGAAAAGAAGCAAAATTTTGTTCTTTTATTCGTCACGATATTCTAAGGTCATTGGTTCAAGTCGAAATTTTTTGGAGGCATTTTTTGTATTGGTTATGTATTTTTCTTGTTTTTCCGGCCATTTTCGGGCAGTTATGAAAAGAAGTATAGTTTTGTTCGTCATGATATTCTATGGTCATTGGTGCAATTCGAAATTTTTTTGATGCGTTTTTTGTATTGTTTATATATTTTTCTTGATTTTTTGGCTATTTTGGGGCATTTACGTAATAGTTATCCATTTTCGGCAGTTACGATGTCACACCCTGAAATCGGGGGAGTTACTGGCACTTGATACCCTATAAGATCGAGTTACCCACTAAAATATACTAGCTAACCAAATTGTGAGACAAAAAGATTGGCCAACACAACCTCTAACAAGTGAAGCATTGACCGTGAAGGTCATGACCTGAGTGAGAATAAACCATACAAACAATGTGTAGACAAACGGAAAAAAAACTAAAGATGTACTAGCTAGCCGACGAGGCCACAACTGAAGACATACCTACTTACACACACATATATACACATGCCAAGACTATGGGTTGGATATTGAAACATACAAATGAAAACTCAGAATATTGTGTCCACAATTGCCTCTATGAGTGATATAAGCACTTACGGGACAAGACCCCGACTATACCCAGACTGGACAACAAAAGTAAACATCCTCTAGTACCCCTGGGATAAGATGGAGCTTACTGACTCACAATTGAACCTGAATCCTAGTGGGTGGGTCGATTAGAGTCCCTGGATGTACTTGCTCGCATGAAACAAAAAGCAGCGTCCCCAGGCAAAGGGACGTCAGTACGAATAAAAATGTACTGGTATATAAAGCGGAAAGTAGAATCATAAATATTTACTGTAAAAAAGGGTAATAGAGATACCACCTGAAACTGAAACTCAAATAATCTTCATGGCTGACATTTGGCCCCCTACTATTTAAATATGCATGGTATGCTCGTATAATCGTATGTCGTGAATACATATATATAGATGCAAATGCATGACATACCCAACCAAATGCTAGCAATGGTGGTGCCTTCTGGTAGCGAACCAGCATCATATTCTCCAATTTGTGGCCATCTGTGTCTCATACGTATAAATATAGGCAATAGGCCTCATATCTCCAGATTATAGCTAGGGAGTAGAATGCATAACATGTCATGTCATGGATTTATAATACCTATATGTTATTGTTGTCATGTTGCCAATCTTGACCCGTTTGTAGTCTTGTTCTCATAACCCATAATCACTTTCATATAACATGTAACCATCTCATGGAACCTTACATGTTCTTCCAGATAAGCTTGAAAAGTTAACTCAAATTTTAGAAAGATAACCTAACCTTGCAGATTTTCATAACAAGTTTAAGGTGGGTTACTTGGTTCCTAGATAATTTATAAAAGAAGTATTTCAAAAACCAAGTGTTCTAATAGTTTACATTTAAATTATATTTGAGAGTTTTGAAGGTCGTGAGCTACTTTAAAGTTTTTCTTTAATAATAACCTTAGTGGAGAAAGAGGGCTGGTCACAAGTAGTAAGGGTCTCGCGTGACATTGTAAGGGTCTCCCGTGATATTTTAAGTCACATCACCTTAAAAAGAATAAGAATTCATACATGCGGACATATAATCAAGTAACCGATAAAATGACATGTAGACTTCGAATACTCTATTTATCCGAACGAGTGGACTATCAAAATAATAGAATCATGAAAATAATTCAGCTGAGATCCCAATTCCTTTCATTGAAGGTCTTTCTAGCAAGAGAATAGCAAACTATCACATTCGGCATTTTAGGAATTTCCCAGGAGTGGTGCTAAAATGAGAGACGTAGCTTAGCCTTAACATACCTTTCCAATGAACGGTCGAATGACCATAGTTTCTTCATGAAAGCTCTTCCTTATGTCCTAATCTTCTCAAACACTATATACACACAACTGGTACACACCTATAAACAGTTCATAATTGATCTTAAATCGGGAGATGTGCCATATGGCCCTAACTTGACGAAACGTCCGTAGAACTTCATAAAAACAATCATAAAAGAGTCCCAAGATGATTACCTTAGTTAACCAAGTGTAAACCTTGAAGAAACACCAATAACTACAACTTTCTATCATAAAAAACTAGCTCCAAACGCAGCTAATAGAAGGGGAAAACGATTGCTACGTGTAGAGATCACGTTTCTAGGCAGGGGGTCAACCTTTAATGGTAGAAATTGTCAAAAACTATCCTTCATCATACAAGAACTCCATTCGAACCCTCTCTTAAGCTTTCTTTCTAGTTTGGTGTGAAAAGAAATGTTTTCATGGCTTAAAACATTGAGTAAGCTGACATACCACATTTTTTACTCGACCTGGATCGCGACTCGGATTCTGCCCCTGTAGTCTGCGGTAAAACCCTAATAACTCTTCACTCTGATGTCAGTTGGATACGGGGTTTTGTGCGTTGCAAACTAGACTCGTAGGCCTTCGATTTGGTAGGTCACGGGCCTTCTAATTCTTTATATATTGGGAGGAAACATCCAATACATCTGACCCAAAATTAAGAAAATATTATTAGAGAAACTTCGATAACTTTTGCCGACCTTAGTTTCGCTAATTTTCTTGACTTCAAAACTTAACAGACGAACCTTGTGCTATTATAATACCTCATAACACACTATTCTTATCATGTTAGACACTCATAGGCTTACCCCAAGGTATGAATTAATTTAAACCTTTCAAACGAGAGAAGAAGGGGTCCCTTTGACCTAAAACTTTAGTTTAGTTCCTTGATATTGACACCCATTTGCAATCTTAGTCTCCAATGTAAGCTACCAAGTCATATACACCTCATATAACCATGCCAAACTATGCCACACATATTATGCAAGAATAGAGAAAAAGTACGGGATCTTACATTCCCCCCCCCCCCTTATGAACATTTGCCTGCGAATGGATCTAGAGAATTCCTTGGTTGAGGTACTTTATTTGCGAGTCCATGTTTTTTACAGTTGCAAATTAAAGTCAAAATCTGAAAATTTTAACTCCTATGCTCTGTATAGCTATCTCATAAGAAGACATTTAAATTGCACTTTCGAGCTTCTAAAAATTTAATCAAGTCATTGTGATAAAATAATTGCCAATTATCGAAATGTGACTCACCTTAAGTCGTAAACAGTTGGGGGTACTCCTTCCTCATTTCCTCTTCCGCTTCCCAAGTCATTTCCTCAATGTTGTTATTTCTCCATAACAATATCACCGAAGCTACATCTTTAGTTCGAAGCTTTCTTACTTGCCGATCTAAAATCGCTATTGGTACCTCTACATAAGATAAATCTTCAGCGATACAAATATTTTCAATGGGAATAATACGTGAAGGATCTCCATTGCACTTCCACAACATAGATACATTAAATACATGATGGACTGCTTCCAATTCTGTAGGCAAATCAAGCTCGTATGTCACCATACCGATCTTTTGAATAATCTGATACGGTCCAACGTACCTAGGACTGAGCTTCCCTTTCTTTCCAAATTGCATGATGCCCTTCATAGTTCTGCCTCAAACTCTAAGTTCTGCCGACACTATGTTGTATGAAGCCGATATCTAGTCAGCTTAACCTTTTCAATTGCTTGTTGGACTAGATTGGGACCTACCAAATCGGCTTTCCCGAGCTCAAACCAATCGATCAGGGACCTACACTTTCGCCCTTATAGTGCTTCGTAAGGGGGCCATCTGAATACTAGCTTAAAAGCTATTATTATAAGCGAGCTCGATATGAGGTAGATGTTGATCCCAACTTCCTTTAAAATCCAGCACACAAGCACGTAACATATCCTCAACCGTCTGAATAGTATGTTTTTCCTGTCCATCAGTTTGTGGATGAAAAGCTGTGCTAAGATTTACCTGAGTGCCTAGAGCCTTCTGAAACGATCTCCAAAAATGTGCTGTAAATTGAGCTCCTCGATCTGTGATAATAGATAATGGAACTCTGTGAAGGCGAAAAATCTCCTGAATGTAAATCTTGGCATAATCTTTAGCTGAATATGTCATTCTAACTGGCAAGAAATGAGCAGATTTTGTCGGCTTATCGATAATTACCCAAATAGAATCATACCTTCGTGGAGTGCGAGGAAAACCAGTGATGAAGTCCATATTTATCATATACCATTTCCATAACGGAAGCTCAATATACTGGGTTAGGCCTCCAGGCCTCTGATGCTCTACTTTAACTTGTTGACAGTTGGGACATTCAGCTACCATATCCGCAATATCTTTTTTCATGCCATTCCACGAATAGATTTGTCGAAGGTCATGATACATCTTCGTCGATCCAGGGTGAGATGCATATCTAGAATAATGGGACTCTGAAAGAATCTTTGTACGGAGCTCTGCAACTGCCGGTACACATAAGTGACCCTGGTATCTAAGGACTCCATCTCCAATTAGCTCAAATAAGGGTTGTTGCTACTGTGGAATCTTTTCCCTCAATTTCCTAAGCTCAGGATCTTCATGTTGCCGCCTTTTCACTTCAGTCACAAAGGAATATTCTGCCATATTCTTAACGACAACACCTCCGCCTCCTGCATCTACCAAGTGTACCTGCAAATTAACTAGCTAGCATAGGTCTTTTGTAATTCCAGCCTTATCAGCTTCAAACATGACTTAGACTACCCATGGACTTCCGGCTGAGCGCATCAGCAACAACATTAGCTTTGCCGGGATGATATAAAATGTCAACATCGTAGTCCTTTAATAATTCTTGCCATCTCCTTTGTCGTAGGTTCAACTCCCTCTGCTTAAGTAAATACTGAAGGCTCTGGAGATCAGTGAAAATATCTATATGAACCTCGTATAGATAATACTGCAAAAGTTTTATGGCAAAGACAACTAAAGCCAACTCAAGATTGTGTGTCGGATAATTTTGCTCATGCTTCCACAACTGTCTAGAGGCGTATGCAATAACCTTACAATGTTGCATAAGCACACATCCTAGGATAATTCTTGAGGCATTACAATAAAGAACATAGCCCTCATTACCATCTGGAAAAGTTAGGATAGGTTCTGTGGTAAGCCTTTTTTTAGTTCCTAAAAGCTTTGTTTGCATGCCTCGATCCACTGAAACTTTATTGCCTTATGTGTCAATTTTGTCAGTGTTGCAGAGATAGAAGAGAATCCCTCCACAAACCTTCGGTAAAACCCTTCCAAGCCTAAAAAACTGCGAACCTCCATTGGATTCAAGGGCCTTGGCGAAGTCATCACTACTTAAATCTTTTTTCCATCAACCTTAATACCCTCACTTGTAATAACATGACCAAGAAAAGTGACAGAAGTAAGCCAAAAATCACATTTAGAGAATTTAACATATAACCTGCAATCTTGGAAAGTCTGCAATACAGCTCGCAAGTGGTTTGCATGCTCAGCTTCCAATCGTGAATATATAAGAATATCATCAATAAACACAATCACAAATTCATCCAAGAATGGTTTGAAGACCCGATTCATAAGATCCATAAAAGCTACTGGGGTATTTGTAAGCCTGAAAGACATGACAAGGAATTCAAAATGGCCATACCTCTTCCTAAATGCTGTTTTTGGGATATCAATTTCCCTGACTCACAGTTGATGGTAACCAGACCGGAAGTCAATCTTGGAAAAGCATTTGGTACCTTGTAACTGGTCAAATAAGTAGTCAATCTGCGGAAGAGGATATTTATTATTAATAGTGACTTTATTTAGTTGTCTATAGTCGATACACATCCGCAAGGAACTATCTTTCTTTTGAAAAAAAAGTACTAGAGCACCCCATGGGGGAAGTACTTGTCCTGATAAAGCCTTTATCGAGTAAGTCCTTCAATTATTGTTCCTTCAATTCTCTTAGCTCTGTAGGTGCCATTCTATTGGGAGGAATCGATATAGGCTGCGAATCAGGATGCAAGTCTATAGAGAATTCAATCTCCCTTTCTGGGGGAATTCCTGGAAGATGATCAGGGAATACCATTGGAAATTCATTCACAATGGGAATTGAATGAAGAGTCGTGGGCTCCTTATTAGTATCTTTTACATGAACCATATGGTATATACAACCTTTAGCAATCAACTTTCGAGCCCTAAGGTATGAAATAAACTTACCCTTAGGTGTGGCTGCATTAACCTTTCACTCAAGGACGAGCTCACCTGCAAAGTAAAATCTGACTATCTTTGCACGACAATCAGTATTAGCATAACAAGCTGCCAACCAATCCATACCCATGATAACATCAAAATCAAGCATAATCAACTCAACTAATTCAGCGGAGGTTGAAAGATAATTAATTAATACTGCACAACCCTGATAGATAGGAATAGCTAAAATAGAATCGCCAACCGGTGTAGACACCTCAACTGGTTGTGGAAACAACTAAGATTTCATTTCAATCTTACTAGCAATAAATGGAGTAATATATGAAAATATTGAGCCATGGTCTATCAATGTGTAAACAACTTGAGAAGATATCGTCAATATACCTGTGACAACATCAGGGGATGTTTCTGAATCGAGTCAGCCTGTGAGTGCAGAAAAGAGGTTCTGGCCACCGCTCAAACCTGATGTATCTCCTCCAGCTCTCCCTCTACCACGAACCTGAGTAGACCGTGGTCCTGGTCGTGGGGCATGCACTGAGGGTGAAGAGGCTGCTGTGGATCCTGAAAGTAGAGCTAGATCACCTCTGCTCAACCTCAGGCACCAACTAATAAAATGTCTTGTCTGCCTACAATGATAACATGCACCTGAACCATGTCTACATTGGCCAGTGTGTGGCTTACTGCACTATGTACAATGAGGAGTGGGATGTCTTATTTGTACAGAACGATCCTGTCGGACTCTCAGGCTGGCCTGAGCTCTGACCTGGTCCTGACTGACTATAACGATCAAACCACGGTCCTTGCACCTGTGGTGAAACACTACCCGTTGGCCGAGGTTGATTTCGATGGAATGGGGGCCTAAAATCACCATGTGGCTCTTTATAAGACCCCATAGTACGAGCTCTCTTACTATTCTCCTTATCCCTTCAGGTATCACGAATCCGTTTAGAAAGGTCCTCTGTAGTCTGAGCGAAAGCCTGTATGCGGGAAATATCTACATCATACGATAAAGATGCTACCCTACAATCTTTGATTAGATGATCTGCCAAACCATCAACAGAACAATGAACTTTGGCTCTCATGGTATGTACAATATCTGGTGCGTATCTTGCCAAAGAATTTAGCCTATGGCTATAATCCCTCACACTCATGGTTTCTTGCTTCAGACTGATAAACTGGTCAATATGGGCCTCTAGAACATCCTGTGGAAAATAATGGGCAAGGAAGGCCTCAGAGAAGTCCTCCCACTTTACTGGCGGAGCATCAGGTACTCTAGATCTCTCCCAGGCCTCATACCAAAGGATGGCTACATCACGTAGCCAAAAAGAAGCCAACTCCACAGCCTCTGTGACGGAGGCATGCATCACCCTCAATACTCTATATATATGGTCTATAAAGTCTTGGGGATCCTCAATATGATTAGATCCTGTAAATAACAGAGGGGTAAAATAAAGAAACTCTCGTACCTTCGAACTTTCTGACCAGTCTCTCCGAGTAACTACTCTTGACTCCAGTTGTCACTCATGAATAGAAACCATCCTAGTCAACAACTAAACTGCCTCCGTCATCCCCTGCTACCCAGTCTCTGGTGGATGAAAAATAGGTACTGGAGGTCATGTGTCCCTAGCTTCCTCATGTACCAATGGAACTAGTGAGGTTGCGGGTACTGCATCTCCTTGCGCTTCAACAGGTGTCAGGGAGTCTAGTACTAGGGGTACTGGAGATTCACCATGTGCCTCCGAGGGAAATCTATTCCTTTGACCTGGTGGGGAACGACTAGTACCTTTCCTTGGATCCATACCTATCTTTCGATCTGCCATATCCGGAGCAAGTGTAGCTTGTTAGATAAAAAACATAAAGCACAATTTAGATTTCAAATGTTCTTATACTTTTACACTATAGCACGATCTATTAGTTTAATGAAATGTAACCATTTCTAAATGCCCTGTAGCCTCTTGATTATAAGTATGGTACACACCACACCCATAAACAAGACTCTACTAGACACGATTTGTGGACCCCCGGGATACGACCTGCTCTGATACCAAATTTGTCACACCTCAAAATAGGGGGGAGTAACTGGCACTCGATACCTTATAAGATCGAGTTACCCACTAAAACATACTAGCTAACCAAACTGTGAGACAAAAAGATTGGGCAGCACAACCTCTAAAAGTGAAGCCTGGACCTTGAAGGTCATGACCTGAGTGAGAACAAACCATTCAAACAATGGCAAACAATCCCAGAAAAAAGTAGAGATGTACTAGCTAGCCGACGAGTCCACAACTTAAGACATACTTACTTACACACACACATATATATATATACATGCCAAGACTATGGGTTGGATATTGAAACATAAAAATGAAAACCCAGAATATTATGTCCACAACAGCCTCTATGAGTGATATAAGCACTGTCGGGACTAG